AAACAATGCAGGCTAACGGTGAGAATGTCGGTTCTGAAAATACAAATGAAAAATCTGGATGGACGGTAATTATTAATTATTTAAAAGTTATATATATTTTATTTTTAATAAATTAATATATATTTCTTATATTTAATTTAAATTTGTTTATTTTGTATTTTTAAAAAATATTAAACATTAAAAATTGTCGTGAATTAAAATTTAAAATTATAGATTAAAAATAAAAATTTGAGTATTTTTTATTTTATTTGAAGTATATACAATAAATAGAATTTATAAATGTATTATAAATAAAGAAAGCATAAATAGATAAATTTATTTTAAGCTAATTAAATATAGTATTTTTAAAAAATATTTTCTCTTATATTTACTTAATTTTATAATATTTACTTAATTTTATTATAGGTTGGTTTAATAAATGGAAAGTTTAAGTATCTCACAGCTGAAACTTTTGGATTTAAAATTAATGCAAATGGTTCAAGTTTGAAGAAAAAACAATTATGGATTTTAGAAGGTAGTGAACAGCAAGTTTTTCTTCGATCTCATTTAGATCGTTATTTAGCAGTGGATCAGTTTGGAAATGTTACTTGTGAGGCAGAAGATCCTAGTGATCCTGGTTGTGCTTTTCAAATACAGTTAGCTTCTGATGGTATGCAAAATATTTGATTATATTGACTTCATATAAATTAATTATTATAAATTTATTTTTATTAAGTTTAGTATAAATATTTAAATCAATCTTTGATTTTTTAAATAAATTCAATTTTAATATCAATTTATATAATCTATAAAAATAATATATTTTTTTAGATACATTATTATTACATAATTATAAATCATAATCATAATCATTTGTAAAAATTTAATTTCTTTTTTTAAATTAGGAAGTGGTAGATGGGCTTTAAAGAATATTCAAAGAGGATATTTCTTGGGTTCTAGTCAAGATGAACTTAAATGTATAGCCAAAGCACCAAGTGAAGCAGAATATTGGCTAGTACATCTTGCTGCTAGACCTCAAGTAAGTAAAATTTTTGCATATTATATCATAACTTTAAATTCTTTATCAAAAACAAATTTAGTTTTCATATATTAAATTTTGAATGAATTTATGTATTATGAATGACTTTATATGTATTATTATATGTATTATATGTATTATATTGTAAATATAAAATAAATATGTTATATTATTTTAAAATGTTGATTAGTTTTGATTTCTTATGCAAATTTCTTTTAGGTAAATTTAAAATCTGCTGGAAGAAAACGATTTGCTCACTTAAGTGCAACACAAGATGAAATTCATGTAGATGCGCCAGTTCCTTGGGGAGAAGATACACTCTTTACTTTAGAATTTCGTCCTGCTTCGATAGAAGATAATGGCGAAGAACATTCTAAATTTGAGGGTGGTCATTATGCTTTACACACTTGTAATAACAAATATTTAGCACGAGATGGTAAACTTTTAGATTCTTGTACACGAGATTGTCTTTATGCTGCTGAGTTTCATGCTGGATTACTAGCACTCAGGTAAGAAATATTAGTATACTTTTCATTACATTATAATATTAAAATATAATTCTGTAAACATTAAATAAAAAAATTGTTTAATTTATGTCATATTTTATTATAATTATTGTAAATTAATTTTAGTATGTGTATATATTTATTATATATATAAACATAAAATATAAAACATATATATATATATATTTATATATATTTATACATATGTTAGTTTAAATGATCTTGTATCTATATTTTGAAGATTATGATATAAATTATAATATTTTTAATTAAAGGGATCTGTATGGAGCATATTTGGCACCTATTGGAAGTAAAGCTGTTTTAAAATCAAGATCAACAACTGTAACTCGAGATGAGTTATTTTCTTTAGAAGAATCATTACCGCAAGCTTCTTTTGTTGCTGCTTTAAATCAACGTTATGTATCTGTGAAACAAGGTATATTTTATTTTTATAATTTTTA